GAGGCTCCTGCAGGGTTTAGGGTTTAGGGTTTAGGGGTTTAGGGTTTAAGGGTTTAGGGGTTTAGGGGTTTAGGGGTTTAGGGGTTTAAGGGTTTAGGGGTTTAAGGGTTTAGGGGTTAGGGCTTAGGGCGGAGAGGCTCCTGCAGGGATGAACTGCTTCCAGGGAGGGGAGATCGTCTCGGTGCGCGTGAGGATCCTCAGTCCATCGGACTTTAGGGTTTAGGGGTTTAGGGGTTTAGGGGCTTAGGGTTTAGGGTTTAGGAGGCTTAAAGCGGCATGAGGATGTACGGTTTAACCTTAAACCCTAAACCCTAAACCGCCGGGTTAAGTGGTTCCGCAGACAACCCTTAAGGGTTGTCCTGTTGCGCGGCCTCCGGAGGCCACACACCCACCCGAACAACGGAACACTGCGCCCTAGAATCCAGAAAACCCTAAACCCTAAACCCGTAAACCCCTCAACTCTACAACCCATTTGCAAGCTTTGCTACGATGGATGCCTAGTCAGTCTGGGCCCGGAGCTTCGGTGTGTATGTGTAACACTTCAGGAAATTAAAACATACAGACTCTGTAGTAAAGTCTAAGATAGTATAGTTATCACATAGTATGATGTCAGCGGCAAAGGATCTGGAGGGCGTTCTTGCCGAAGTCGCAGTCCGCCCGGGCAGCGGCACCCACGGTGGCAATCCTGTGGATTTCGCTACATCGGTACACAGCGTCGCCTTTGTCAAGGAATATTCCTTCAATGACAGGAGCGAGCCGGTGAATTAAGTAGAAGGTATATGAAAGATTTGTCCAGTGAACGAGGGTATCCCATCTCTGAACCTGGATTTCGGAAATCGGCTTAGGGGGGGCCATGGGAGAAACTCGGGCTTCAGCAGGTCAAGGCAAGGCTTAGCTTAGCTCTTGGTACAAGTTTCAGAACGAATACCGGCGCCTCAATGATTAGAAGAGGGTTTTGGGGACCGATTAGAAGTATCTTTTTATTTTCTGTTCCCACATGGCTCCTGAAGCAAATTCGTGTTTTGCTGTGCTGTGCATGTACTTGGGATTTGGGGCTCAGGGTTTCAAAGCAGCATACCGCCAAAGCCTCTTCGAAGTTACGGTGGTACATGAGCTTGCCACTCTAACCCAGCCCTAAACCCTAAACCCTAAACTCCGAAGTGGTTTGGAGCTCTGACTAACTCCAGCTTTGAGCCTTGTACCCTGGCCCACTCCTTTCCATAAGACCCGAGGCCAAAGCTGGTTTACAGTTCTCCCACTGAGTATGTACATTACCCAATTTGACAACTCACAACTACACAGTTGATTTCTACTCCTCCTCCTACGCCTGCCTCCCACTCGTTACTACCATGACGACGACGACTACTACTAGTACCTCCACTGTTGTCTTCGGCCATTGAATGAAAGAGAAGGTGCTCTCCGAAGTTGGCCATCAACGCCGTGAAGTCGCCAGCACAAATCGCACCGGAGTTGACGGCCTGCGTTCCAGAAACCCTAAACCCTAAAGGCCCTAAACCCCTAAACCCTAAACCCCTGGTGTAAACCCTAAACCTTAAGCCCTATTCGCGCAGGCATTTAAAGCTGAGGTTAAGGACTTCGAGCTCCGGGGCTGAGAAATCAGCCGCTGGGTCTGAGGATTCCGCTGTGTTTTGGCTCTAGGGTTCAGGGTTTTGGGTTTAGGGTTTAGGGTTTAGGGTTCAGGGTTTAGGGTTCAGGGTTTAAGTTGCGGTTTTGGGCTGCTCTGGGCTTGGGCTTAGGGATCTCGTTGCCCAACTCATGAAGCCGCGAGAGCCTAAGCTCAGAGAGGCTGACATTGTCAAAAACCTATGGCTCACGCTTCGAGGTCTCTGGTGTAGAGAACCCCACATCGTAAGTGCTGTGCCAACCCCCCACAGACAGACTCTCAGAGGCAGACACGCAGAACCCAGCAGGGCAAGACGCAGCAAGTCCCAGGGCCAGCAACTAGCCGCATTAAGTGTGAACCCATGCTCCTGCGTTCCACCGATACCCATCATCAGGCTCAATCCCTAAACCTTAAAACCCCTTAGCTAAAGCCCTACACCTACGAGTAGCAGATGGGGGTGCCTCACAATTCGGGGATACCCTACCTCGGGCCTTGCTTAGTGAGTTTAATGAGTATTCAAGGTCGATGTTCGTGGTCATTCTTTTCCAAAAAACAAATTCTAACAGCCTCCTACAATTCATTCACCTTCTTCTGAAACTACTATGAAACCCTCCAAAACCCCTAAACCCTAAACCCTCCAAAAGCCCCTTACACACTTCTGTGAAGGATCTTCCTTCCACAGACTCCCAGCTCCGAAACGGCCTGGCCACAGGCGTTGGCCGCGAAGGACAGGTAGGATGCGATCCAGCTGATGGAAGTGATGAAGCCTAGGTCGGAGATATGGTTCATGATATAAATCCTGCATGACCTTGAGGAGTCCAGAGCTATGGGTATTAGGGTTTAGGGGTTTAGGGTTTAGGGTTTAGGGATTTTGGTATATTCCTTGTTATGGGTAATGCAGGATTTATACCATCAAGTGTATGGGTAGTTCTTTAGATGAAAGGGTCCCCTCTCAGACCTCCAAAATAATACGGTACCCAAGAAAAAGGGGATCCGGAAAGCTTCTGTAGTAGGGTCTTTCAGTTTAGGGTTTAGGGTTTAAGGTTGAGGGTTTAGGGTTTAGGGTTGAATATGCTTTACATAACTTTACCGGGCTTAGGGTCTAGGGCGGTCTGGAGATTTTGGCGGTTGAGGGCGGTGGTAGATGGAGATTGCTGATACGACTCCAGGGTCTCGCGGTTTAGAGTAAACCTCAAAAGGTTGGACGCCGGATTCAAGACACTTAGTGCTGGGATCCCCTATACATTACTCTTAAGGATTGAGGCTACTGGGCTTCCAAGTTTTGGGCTTCCACTGTCGGATGTGGGCCTTTCTGGGTTTCTAGCCTTAAGCCCAGCCTAAACCCAAAATCCAAACTTGTAAACCCGACTTAAGCCCTAAACCAAAAACCACAAAACCCCAACACACCCTCAACCCTGAACCATTCTACTGCTACTGGCAAGCACCAGAGCAAACCCAGAGCCAAAATGTCAGAAGCCGGAGCCCTCTGGAAGAGCCCCCGATTACAGGCTTGCTAGGGTCTACCCAGGCGTCTTTATTTTCGGCCTCCCCCTAGTTTCGGGTTTAGGAGTACAATCAAGCACCAGGGATCATTGCTCGGGTTTGGCTTGCTTTGGGTCCATGTGTAAAAAGGGCCATATAGTTGAATGCTGTTTATAAACTATAGACCCAGCAGTGGGTACTACTTGCCTACCTGGAGCCTTCGGGCTTGTCGTTCAGATAGGTTTAGGGAGAATTAGGGTTGAGGGTTTAGACTTTAGGGTTTAGGGAGAATTAGGGTTTAGGGATTAGGGCGAATTAGTGTTCAAATGTCCTCTGAAAACCTGTTAAAGCCTCACTCCGAAACGGCTCCTAGGGTCCTAAACCCCCAAAACCCCCTGCTAACCTGAAACAGCGGCGAACATGATGTCCTGAGAGCCCAACAAACACTGCCTACTTTGCGCGTGTGGCAGCCCCAAAAAACCCTGCCCAAAACACAATTCGCTCGCAATCTTGTAGCCTCTGAACACGATGTCCCGAAATCTCTGCAAGGTCCTTTAGGGGGGCCTAAAACACCTAGAAGCAGTAAGCTGCACGCCAGAATCTGAAACCCTGGATCGAATCTATACCATGCACTGCTACGCACTCCCATAGAAAGAATACATACTTTGACTGTACGCTTCTTGGACATACGAAATAATGTCGTCTAGAAATTCTGAACCTGACTCTGAGACAAGCAACCAGCCACACTCGCGGCACAGCCCACTGGGGAGTTGTTCGGGCACTCCAGGCCGTCGTAGTCAATGGCCTAAACGTAATTCATGGCACTGGTCGGATTTGATTTTGGCCTAGTCCGAAGCCACGCCTGGCAGCTTTCGAGTGCTTTAAACAGGTTGTTGGCTGGTCTGAAAGATTCTCTCTCCATCGTTAGGAGCAGTGATCCATTTGATGCTGCTGCTGTTACCGTACTTTGACGAAGGCACAAGACTTGCGGAAGGCTTCAGCGACACGATTTGAGATGTTCGAGGAGGGTGGAAAAAGTTTGAGAAGAGCTTCTGCTTGGACAAATCGTCGAAAGTGCTGCCAGACCGTGAGATGACGTTCAAGTCTCTTTTGCACAGTGCACGGACGTCCAGGACGCACCAGATGATGCTCTTGAAGTGCAGAGGGAAAAGCGCTCTCTGCATCTTTCTCGAAGGAAGCAGCTTTGACGGGCTTGGCCCTTTTGCCGATTGGCTCGCCCTTGGCCTTCTTGCCTTGAATTTCGTCCAGCATCCTCTTCAAAGCAGCATCCAGTGAAGGAAGTGAGTCTAGACCCCCTTTTCAACCTCACCTAAGAGGTCCGTGGGACGAGTAAGTAGGGTCGTAAGTACGGCAGCTATAATAAAGTCTCCTTGCTTCTATCCCCCGTGAAGATAGTCAAAGTGCCCAGATCCTCTAAACAGGTCCCTGGCCCTGAGCCTCGCTCCTATGCCAAAAACGTGAGTTCCTATGCCCTAAACCCTAAGCTAAACCCAAAGACTTAAGCCTAATCAACACTTGGAACCCTAGAACTACGCAATTGTTTGAGTACTGCCTTCTTGTATGTGAATCTACAAACCCAAAATTTGAAGACTACTACGACCAAACTTTCAACCCTGCTAAACCCCTACAATACCCCGAAGCTCAACACATTACGCCCTTCTAGACCCGTAGCAAATCTTACCAACCCTAAACGCTAAATCGGCAGAAGGGTTTTTTTTTAAGGTTTGGCCAAACGGTTTTTTT